AAATAATTTATTGCAAAATAATGACCTAATATATTGCATTTTGCTTCTGGTATTGTATAATTAGTTTTAGAACTATTTGAATGTAGTTTTTGATCATCGTATGCTGAATTTAATTTCACCTTATAATGACTACATCTGGATTTGTGAATTACTGCTGCTGCCTCACGGCATTCAATATGATTTTTTATCTGATAAGCTACCAGTTTTCTATAACAACGCTCCAGTTTGCAACGTTAGATTTTTTTATTCTTGGCATCTGAAGATAAACATTTATTCTTATGTTTACCTAGTCATATTGAATATTTTCGAATGGGTGCTAAATGATCAAAAACAGTTGTTATACTTAATCTTATTTGTTTAGCATAATCCTCCAGGTTGTTTTCAGATGATAAGCAACATGGCATCACTTGCAAATCCTTTATAAAGCATGACAAGTTTAGTTTTCTAAAGTTTCGTTTTGAAAACCAAACAGTTTTTGTATTTGAAGGCTAATGGTAAAGTTCTAACTGAATCATTTAGTGATCTGAAATACCCTTTTCAGTTACTTGGAAATACTCTTGAGTGAAATATCATCATGGCGATTTATTACTAGATCAAGCAAGTTGGCTGTACCAATAGTAGATGATATGCTTGTTCGAGATTGAACTCGTTGTATCATGTTATAGGTCTCTAGAATCTCATCAAGTCTTGAATTGCATGTTATTGGAGTAGTACCTGCGCAGTTTAAGTCACCACACAGGGGATTTCTCCAGATAATATTTGAAGTTGCTCTAGGAGTTCAGAAATTTAGATTTGATCGATAAATAGTAACAATATTGTAGATAGTATTTGCCAGATTTAGTTTAGCCAATGCAGTTTCATAAGACAGACAGTTAAACAATAATGAGAGTGGTTTGATATTTAACTTGTCTCTATATATTATTGCAACGCCTTCTCCACGATGGTCTGATCAGCAGTATTAAATCTTGAATTGCTGTAGGGTCATCTGACTTTATCAAAGTTTCAGTTAGTATAAAAATATCTTGAGAATGGTTTTGCACTATTTCATGAATGATAGCAGATTTATGTAAGGCAGATTGAACATTTTGGATACCCAAGTTTAATGCATAGGTAATCAAGTTTAATGTAGTGGTAATCAAGTTTAATGCAGAGGTTCTTTTAATTTTTATATGTAAATTATGCTGATTTAATTTTGAGTTCACTGTTGAGATCCAGTTGAGATCCACCTGATCGTATACCCCAATAATATTTTTTTCCATTGTGCACATTGTGTCATTGCCTTCTAATTGTTCCCTCAACCTCTTGAGCAAGTGCTGCATTTTGAGTATTTCTAAATTTTCTGAGTTCACTTTCGAATAATCTCTCCTTTGCTGTTTTGTCTTTATTAATAAAATTATTTTTGAACTTAATACTGTCTTATTTATTTTACTGTCTTATTATTTTAATGTAAATACTGTCTTAATCATTTTTAATCATAAAGTTTTGAGTTTCTTTGTTCTCCAATATAACTGAGATTAGTTCAGGTGGTCCTTCTGGTCTTTTAGTATTTTTAGTTGGTCAAATTATTTTTTTTTTGCATTTGTTATTGAAAAATCTGGTTTAATTGCTATTAATATTGTTTCAATAGTTTGTTTATCATTTTCTTCATTAATTTGTTTGTCTAAAGTTGTATGATCAGCAACTCCACTTATAATGATGTTTTTTTCAATTCTTTTTTTATTAATAAACTTGTTTTTAATTTTTGCCATCATTAACAATTTTTCTGAATTGATGTTGCTTGTGCATATGTGAATATTGCACAAGCAACATCAATTCAGAAAAATTTATTCAAGTGTATAATGTAATTCTTAATTTAAGTATTTATGTTTTATTTTGACAAGAATATAATATAACTAATGGTAGTCAGGGTTGCATGGTTTTAACCAAATGGTTTAAACCAATTTAAAAAATGTTGTTTTAAACCAAAGTATGTTTTCTTAAAAAGATTTGAACTTACAACAGGAAACTAAGACAGGGTTATGTTCACAAATATAACTAATCTTCAATATAGATATTTTTTTTTAAATTTATCAATATGCTTCATCCAGGATACACTCTACCTAATAGAACTGAAATTGGAGGATAAATATTAGACAGGGTTTACACAGAAGAAATTAAAGAATGTAATGTATTGAATGGGAAAATTGTAGCCATGTCTTTAGATGGCTGGAGTAATGTACACAATGAATCTATAGTTTGTATCTCTGTAATTAGAGATAAAATTAACATTTTAGTAAAAACAATTAACACTTCTGGTCATTCACATACTGGTGAGTATCTTACACAATTTGCAAGAGAAGAAATAGATTTTATAAGACGTAAATTTGGGTGCACAGTAAAAAGCTTTGTGATCGACAATGCGGCAAATGTGAAATCGATGAGACAAGTATTGTCATCTGACAGTGATATTATCATAACTTATGGGTGTGCTGCTTATATGCTGAATCTTTTAGCAAATGATCTTAACATTAAAAATGTGAGAAAGCGTGTTACACAATTAATAAATTATATAAGAAATAATCATCAAGCTGGAGCAATTTATAAATTAAGCGGAGGAACAAAATTGCCACTTCCTACTGAAATTGGCTGGAATTCTGTATGTGATTCACTTGAAAAATATGTCAACAACTGGAGCATTATTTTTACAATGTTTGAAAAAGATAAAGACTTGGATCTTGTGATTGGTAAAAAAGTAAGTGGTATACAGATAAAGCAAAACACAGAAGATTTATTGAAAATGTTGAAACCAAATGCAGTAGCTCTAGATAAGTTGCAAAGAGGTCAAACAAAAATAAGTGACTCTTGAAATTTTTAAATATTTGATGAACAGTTTATCATTTTTATCAAACGAAAAAAAAATCTAGATACCTTCAGACTGTCAGTAATGCTCATTTCCAGGCAAACACACTAGATCCTAGATATTTTGGATCTAATCTTTCTGAAAATGAAAATGAAGCTGCCATGAATTTCGCAGATAAAGAGTTCAAGAATTTGTTACCAATATTATTCAAATTGAAAACCAAATCTACTATAACATAATGAATATTAAAGATTTTTTTCAAAAGAATTTTTTCAACTTTTGGTCTTGTTCATTTTAACTTACAAAACCGATTGGGGGTAGAAAAAGCAGCAAAGTTTGTATTTATATATAGAACATTAAACAATGATATATTAAATAATTTTGATGAAATATAACAATAACATTGATAAAGAATATAGATTACTCAAATAAAATACGTTATGCTTTTTTTAATTTAAAAGGGTAACTAAATACTGCATTTTTTAGTAAAAACCTAATTTAAACCAAAAAAAAACCATGGTGTTTTTGATTTTTTTTAAAAAACCTATGATATTTTGTTTTTTTAAAAAAAACTGGTTTTATTAGCAACCCTGATGGTAATTGAATTGTATAATAAATAAAAAAGTAAACATTTTTATAACCATTTCATTCTTTGTGTAGTTTGCAATATATAATATAAGTTTAAAATATTAAAAACAATTCTTCTTAAGTAAGATATAAAGAAGAAATAATTTAAATATTGTGATACTATAAAAGTATTATAATGACTTTTTCTTTTAGCAGTGTCTTTATAATGTTTAAAACTTGCTATGCGTTAAACCCCTGAAATCTATAATGATCAGTTTCCAAACTGCATACTATGTATACATTTAATAACTTTATGTTTTACTTTACTCCATCGGTTTATTTTAATATATAATAGGAAAATTTCATTCTAAGTAAATTATGATTTTATTGTGTCTTTTGCAAACTAGAAGTACATATTTATTGTATCAAATTATTAGAAATAAACCTTTAATGGTTTAACCAAAAAAGTAAAATATATTTATGAAGGGGAAGCGGAACTACTTTACAATACCCCTGATGTATTTAGTGAATAAGCTTTTTAATATATTCGTATGTTTTTGTTCTGTATGGATGAGCTGGAGCAGTGCTGGTTTAGCCATAAGTCACTTAATATAAATGTATCTTTATGTTTTGTTCGACCCTCTGCGCAGTGTTCATCCGCTCATCATTCACTTTATATGTGTATATTTATGTTCAGCCGCTAATTTAAAGTTGTTAGTTTTGGTATGTTCATTTGATTATTAATTTTATTAACTTTGATGAATATTATTTTTTAATTTTAACAAAATCGATCCTACAAACATTAAAAAAAAAACATTGAAAGAATGAAAAATTATCTATATTATTATTCATATAACTATTTATTATAATTCCTAATAAAAATAATTTAAAAAATAAAATAAAAAATTTTCTTTTTATTAATAAAAAAGGATCACTAAAATTAAATCATCACTTATTTTAAAAGCGCTTTGCTAATATTATAACATTTAAGTGCAAAAGATACAAATTCAATTGTTTTAGCATGTCAAAAAGTGTTGGACATTTATGGAAACATATATAAATTTAGATGTTCTCAAAACATATAGAAAAGCTGTAGCCAAGTCGGCACAACTATATATAATATGCATGGTTAGGAATAGAGTGCGATCGCACCCTCTTTCTAACCAAGCCTGTATAGTACAACTTAATCAAAGTGAAAACAATAGACACATACTTATTTAAAACTTAAATTAAATCTTTTTTAATAAACAACTGCACAAGTTTGTTTGAAATTTAAAATATATGACACAAAAACAATTTTAAAATGTATTCAACTAATTAATTTAGTTTTAATTTCCAAAAGTGTTTTCTCATGATTACTTGCTCTTTTGCTTGGAGCTATTTCAATTAAGTTTTTAAACTTTTCAAATTAGAAAAAAAAGTTTCACAAAAAAGAAAATTTAGGAAGGAAATTTTGTTGGAATAATGCATCAATTAAATAAACAAAACTTATTTTTACCTTGGTTTATTATAGAATAAATTTTGATTTAAATAGTTTTTTCATAACAAATAATAGAGCTCTATAAATTTATTTAGTTTTATAAATTTTATTTAGTTTGCAAATAAAGCCGCTGGGACAGTGCATGTTATGCTGAGTGGAACATCACAGGCTGTTAATCCACACAGGTAAATAACTAGATATAGAGTACTAATTTTGTTAAGCTTTTAGAATAAAAAAAAATTTCTGCTGCACCCTAATGGTTAAGTATTTCAAATTTCAATTGTCATGCTTAAATATAAATTAGACAATCTCTGTTGACCCAAGACTGTGTTTCTATAAAAATCATGAAAAACAGAAAAGTGATTTAATTTATTCTGTTTAATTTATATATTTATTTAACAAAGTAAGATTTTCTAATCTTTTTAGTTTTTTTTATTTGAAGATAAAAACATTGAAAGAGAAAATAGTATATTATTTTTAAGTTGTGAATTTTCATCATTTTTTGGCAGAAATGGTTTTTTTATTTGATTAACTCCTGAAGTAATGCCCATTTTTATATAGCATGTAACATCTGTGTGTTGTAATTTTTGTTTATCTACAGGAAAATTTGAGTATTTTAAACTCAAAATTTATATACAAGCCTTCCCGGAAAAGGCATGCGGTCACACGCCTTGTATGTCCACGCCTAAAGAAATTTTTTTAGACAACTTGACCAAGTTAAATAAAAGAATAACAAAGTTATTGTATAGTAAGCATTAAAAATTCGCGGCTATAAGAAACTAGAGAATAAATCAGCAATACTCGAAAAAAGAACAAGCTATAGAAAATAGAAAATCCTAATAAAATAAGTTATAAAAAATTTATTAATAAAAAAAAAAAAATTAGTGTCAAAAAAATAATATACCTAAGTATTTGCTGTTTTTTTCTTATTTTTAGAGCATTTGTTATTTTCCATTACCATAAATGATACAAGTCGAGGAAAAAAGTAGATAAGAATATATCGAAAACAAAAATATTTTTTGATATACAATTTTTTTGCAACTTTTTTTAGTCAGTATATTAAGGAAATACTTTATAAATTGTGCTAGAAACACTGACAATTTTTAAATTTGTTTTTCAAATGTCTTTACTAGACTTTACTGTTTTTATCAATGCACAGAAAAGCAAGAATACTAATTTTTATTGTAAAAAAATGAAATGATGCTGCAAAATTTTGTGGGCTAGTGCATTGTTAATTTACTGAGCTTTCTTAACGAACATTTTAAGAGCCTATATAAAACTTTCGGTTAAGTTTTTAAATAGATTGTTTTAAGCAGAACAATCGTTATGTTTATTAACTCTAGTAATTTGTATTAACATTAGAAATTAGGCAATAAAATAGAAACAACTTCATACATGCATCAAATGTGGTAAATACATTTATTAAATTAACTTTGTTATTCTTTTATTTAACTTATTTCGTTATTAACAAATTTTATTAATCGAATAATTTCTTTACAAATAAGCATCTATTTTCTTATTTTCCTATTATATAAGTTTTGAGAAAAAAGGTAAAATATAGCAAAAATTTTATAATTTTTTAAAAATTTTTTAGTGTTTAAAAAAATTACTTTAGGCGTGTGTTTAAGAAAATTACTTTAGGCATAGACATACAAGGCGTGCAGTCGCATCGCCTTTCCTGGGAAGGCTTATATATATATATATATATATATATATATATATATATATATATATATATATATATATATATATATATATATATATATATATATATATATATATATATATATATATATATATATATATATATATAAATATATATATATATATATATATATATATATATATATATATATATATATATATATATATATATATATATATATATATATATATAAAATAGCAAATAAATTAATATAGTTTATTTTCATAAAAAACCTAAAATCACATTAAATTTTAGTTAAAACTATGATAAAATCAATTCTTAATTGACAAACACATCTTCCTGGCCTTCTTAGCAGCAAAATTTGAAATAACTTCTTCATAGTTAACGTTAATGGCTAAATCTGATTCGATTGAAAGGATCATCAAGTAGCACAATCGCTCCTGGCCTATTGTGGAACGAAGATAATCTTTGATGATAGCTAACTTGCTGAAAGATCTTTCTCCTTCAGATGTTGAAACGGGCAATGTTAGAAAGATTCTAAGAGAAACACACACTTGCGGAAATATTGAATGCAGCCCCTTTGCATAAACTTCATTTAGAAGTTCGACAGGCTTTTCGCTGGCTAGAATATTTCTTTTTAGGGAAAAAAAACTCCGAACTTCATCAGAAAATTCGTTTTTACATAAGTCTTCTGGGTAAAGTTTAGCCAGATTCTCAGCTTTTAAACCTAGTTCTTGGTCTGTTTGAGATTTCTGTAAAGACCAAAGGAAGAAAAACTTGCTACATTCCTCTTCTATTACTTTAAATCTTGATCTCATTTGACTAGTCAGATTGTCGAGTGCAACAATGAAGACATTACACTCAAAGTTTTTTGATGCTTCTTCGTGGTTGTAACCAGCAGTTTCATCTGAGATGATCTTTTTTCGCGTTCTCTTCACAGTAAACATTATTTTATCAAATTTCAAGTTCTTTGCAACTTCTGTTGCCTCTATCAAAATCAGGTCCCAAGACAGACGGATTCAATCCAGATCCATTAAAAGGCCATTTAGAATCTTTACTTTATCATCAAGAGTGAGTTGAGTGGATTGAAGCAGAAGACTCACGTTGTTAACTGCCATCAAACATTTAAATCAAAAAGTAGTGAAAACAACAAATTCAAAAGAATTCATCCATTTAATGAGATAATGCACTTCATTACTACTTTCGCCTGGAAGGTCTAACTCTTTTAGACGATGTAATGATTTCAAGATCTCTCTTGGCTTTTTTGCTAGTGGCTTAACTGATTCAATCCTTGAACTCCATCGTGTAACAGAAAGTTTATGTAATGATTGGCCTGTCTCCTCCTGAAGAATTTTCCAACGAACTGGGCTGCTGCTGAACAGATTGTATAGCTTTTAAATATTTCCAAAATAGGATTTTGCAGGAGCTGATGATTCAATAGCGTGTACTGCACATAAGTTCAAACTGTGAGCAGAGCAAGGAAGGAAAATTGCTTGTGGATTATTCTGTCTTATCAAAGCTTGAACTCCATTGTAAATACCTGCCATATTAGCGCCGTTGTCGTAGCCTTGACCACGACAATTTTTTATGTCGAGCTTATTCTCTTCCAACACATTCAATATCAACTTTGTTATATCAGATCTCTTCTTCTTTTCAAGTTCTTCTAGCTTAAGGAATCTTTCTTTGACCTCCCACAGCAGATTATCATTGAA